GTGTGTGTGTGTGTGTGTGTGTGTGTCACAGAGAGTCAGGAGGAGGAGGAGTTTAACTGCAGCAACATTCCTGAGAAACTGATTTTCCCCCGAGAGCTGCAGCGCTGACGTCTCCGGGTAAAACTTTTAAAGAACTAAAAAAAGAAATAATTCCCCTCAGCTTAAAGTTTCCGTCCGGCAGCTGCAGATAAAATGTCCTCTGAGTTCTGATGTGCTGCAGAAACATTAGCAATAAGAATCTGAAAGTCCTTTGTTTACTTCCAGATCACGGTGACATCAGAACACTAGCGCTCCAACACACTGTACATGATAGGCTAAAGGGGGCGGGACATCTCTAAGCTGGTTGACCAATCACAACAGAGCCGGCCAGCTAACCAATCAGAGCAGGTTTCAGACAGAGGGTGGAAAGAGGCAGTGAAGCGTTACAGAGAAGCAGTCGTTGTTAATCCAACAATGATGACGAAATGAAGTAAAACTACATTAAATCAAAATATACCGTTTTTTACTTAATAATTACAAATAAATTGGACAATTGTGAATCAAGCGCAATAGAAAGTAAAAAATAAAATGAAATCATATATAGTCACACTCAGTTATTTACATAAATATATTTAACATGTCATTTTGTAAAGATATTTTTACGACGTCTTTCACGACTTTTAAGTAAACGTTAGAATCCAATTGTGCAAAAGTTCAAAATGTTAGAATATAATATTAAAAACAAGATATTTTGCATTCCTATAAACACAATTATGAATGCATTGTATAGGAAGTAAAAAGCTTAAACAAATACATGCACTATACAGTTAGCGGCTAGTCGTTAGCAGTTAGCGGTTAGCGGTTAGCTCACCATCAGCAGCACAGTGACACAGATGGAGAGACCTCGTAAGTAACTCCTGTAGCGAGCCATGATCCCAACTGAGAGAGGAGAGAGGAAACACAGAGAGAGAGGGGTGTGTGTGTGTGTGTGTGTGTGTGTGTGTGTGTGTGTGTGTGTGTGTGTGTGTGTGTGTGTGTGTGTGTGTGTGTGTGTGTGTGTGTGTGTGTGTGTGTGTGTGTGTGTGTGTGTGTGTGTGTTTGATGGATGTTGTTTAAAGCTCACAGGAGTGTTTGCCTGCAGAACGAAGAACATGACCAAGTTAGGAAGATCAGCTGGAGAGAGGAGGAGAGGACACTAGGGAGGAGGAGAGCAGAAGAGGAGAGAAGGAAATGAATGAAGGAAAGGGATGAGGAAATGAGAGAAAAGAAGTAGAGGTAACAACAGCAGGGGTTAGAAAGGAGGTTAGGAAAGGAGAAAAGGAGAGAAGAACACAAATGGTGAAAGGAGAGGAATCAAGTGGGTAGGATACAAGGGAGGAGAAGTAAAAGGAGAGAAGGAAAGCAATAGGGAAAGGAGAGGAAACACGGTGAGGAATCGAGTGGGTAGGAAACAAGTGTGGAGAAGTTAAAGGAGAGAAGGACACACATAGGGAAAGGTGAGGAATCGAGTGGGTAGGAAACAAGGGAGGAGAACTAAAAAAGTCCGGCAGTGGCTCAGTCAGTAGGGGCTTGGACCGTGAGCTGTAGGGTCGCCGGTTCAAGTCCCCGAACAGACTTAAAGTATGGAGTGTGGATTGCTACTTGGAAAGGTCCCAGTCCATTACAGAGGGGTTCATCCCAATTCTATTCTATTCTATTCTAAAAAAGAAGAGAAGGACACAAATGGGGAGAGGAGAGGAAACAAGGTGAGGAATCGAGTGGGTAGGAAACAAGGGAGGAGAAGTTAAAAGAGAGAAGGACACAAATAGGGAAAGGAGAAGAGGAAAGGAAACAAGGGTGGAAACTAAAGAAGAAAAAACAAGGGGGGAAACAAGAGGAGAGGAAACAAGGAGATAAGGAGGTTATCCGAGGTAAGGCTCGTCTGTAATTAAGGAAAGGAAGGAGGAGTGATTGATGGAGAAGGAGATAGGAAGGGAGAATAACAGGAAGAAGGAGGGAAGGGAACGAGGACAGAAAGTGAAAGTATGAAGGAGATTAAAGAACCACAAAGGCTTTAGAAACAGGAGAAGGAATGATCGCCAACGGAAACACAAAAGATATGAACATAATTATTGTAAAAAGTCTCTAAAAATCACAAAATTAAAAAGATAAATAAATGCAAAAAATATTAAAAAATAAATGCTAAATGTATCTCCTTTGTTATATTGAGAAGAATCAAATAAAAACACCAAGTCAATCACAAAAAGAACAAAGAAACACAAAAGAATCTCTAAATTAATGCAAAATGTACCTTTTTATGTTCTCACAAGTCTCACCAAAATATATACTTACATTTTTGATATTGTAAATTGTCTTAGAAATATAAAAAAACAAACTAAATCTCCCTTCTGTTCCGTCACAATAACATGCCAAAATATTGTTTTAAGGATCGTAAAGTAAAACCGTTTGCCCGTAAAGCTCGTTGAGAAGAAATAATAAAACGTAAACGAACAGAGAGGAATTCAGTGAGTCATTGAACGCAGCGCCGTGTTGACGTTAGACTAAAAATAACTGAAGGGGACAGACTCACTGTCTGAGTGCGTGTGTGTGTGTGTGTGTGTGTGTGTGTGTGTGTGTGTGTGTGTGTGTGTGTGCGCGTGTGTGCAGCTGGTTGCTCAGCTGTGTACCCTTACATAGTGATGATGGAGATAAGCACACGACTCTCTGATACCTGCTTTAACGAGTGTTTCATTTAAAGAGTTCCCTCTCCTCTTGTGTGTCCTAAAGGTGTTAGTGCATGTAAATGGTCTGCAAAGGCTAAAATCCCAAAGTTCCAGAACATAATGACATCACTACGGAACACTCGCACTCCTATTGGCTAGCGCTCCAACACATTGTAGGTGATTTCCAGACATTTTACTTCTCATTTTTTTTTACTTTCCACATATTTCCGGGACAGTTTTCAGATATTCACATTTAGAAACAAACATTAAGAGACTTTCTTTTACAAAGTCGGACATATTTTTCTTATGTTTTCCAGGTTTTTTCTTCCAGGTTTTTTTTTTACTTTTCATGTTTTATTTCATGTTTGTCTTTTGGATACTGGCAACATATTTTCCTGATATTTTCTGAAACTTTCCGAGACATTTTCTCACATTTTTGGACATTTTCTCAAATTTTTAAGACATTTTTAAGATATTTGGTGTGTGGCCCAGTGGGTTCTAACCCCACTGCAGTCAGCATGTCGTTGTGTCCCTGAGACACTTCACCCCGAATTGCTCCTGTGGGGATTGTCCACAGTACTGAGTATGTAAGTCGCTTTGGATAAAAGCGTCTAACAAGTGTCATGTAATATAATGTAATATTTCTCTCACATTTTTAAAACATTTGAGACGTTTTTCTCAAATGCTTTGGAAATCTTTAAGGCATTTTTCTCACATTTGTAAGATATTTTTCTCACTTTCTTTGGCCTTCTATCAGTAATCTTCCAGGTTGTTTCTCAGCATCTAACAGCTGTTCAGGGCTGTTGGTATCTCTCTCTGTCTCAGCCTGTTCTCAGCGGTGTGATGATCCCAAATCACTTTTTAAAGGCTTGATGAAGCTTCAGAAAGACTCAAAATCATCCGGAGACACACAGGTTCTTCTTTTTGATTTGGATTATTTAGTAATAAATCAGGTAACGGAGATCTGTTGCTGAAACATGAACTCTGACGACCTGCAGAGGAGGAAGGAAGCGAGCGGCTGCACAGCTTCATCTTTATTGTATTTAGACATTTTGAGCACTCCAGGTTTCAGTTTGGAGATAAAACTTCTTCCTCTGCTGTGTTTACAGCTGGCAGCTCAACGAGGCTCAAACTGTGGCCCCGGGGACAAAAGGAGGTCCTGACGTGGAGTGGATGGGGCAACAGAAAACATCTCTAGCCAAACCCTGGAAGACGACTGAAAAGAGGCCAAAAAAAGTGAGTAAAATGTCTTGAAGATTTGAGAAAAATGTCTCAAAAATGTTGGGAAATTAATAATAAAATACATTTTATTTGGGGGGCGCCTTTCATAGCACCCAAGGACACCTTACAGGGCATAGGGGCAATATAGGGAACAATTAAAACAGTGGATTTAGTGAAATATCAGCCGGGGTAAAACATTTCTTAAGAATGTCCAAAAAATGTGAGAAAATGTCTCAAAAAGTTTCAGAAAATATGTTACAAGTATCTATTGGCTGCAGAACGAAGAACATGACCAAGTTAGGGAGATCAGCTGGAGAGGAGAGGAAACTAGGGAGGAGGAGACGAGGAGAGGAGAGCAGAAGAGGAAAGAAGGTGATGAATGAAGGAAAGGGAGGAGGAAATGAGAGTAAAACAAGGAGAGGAAACAGGAGAGTTTAGGAAAGGAGAAAAGGACACAAATGGGGAAAGGAGAGGAGAGGAAACTAGGGAGGAGAGCAGAAGAGGGAAGGAGATGAATGAAGGAAAGGAATCAAGGGAGGAGGAATGGAGAGGAAACAGCAGGAGAGGTAAGAAAGGAGGTTAGGAAAGGAGAGAAAGACACACATGGGGAAAGGAGGAGAGGAAACAAGGTATGTAAAAAAAATGTTTGTATCTGAAAACTGTCCCAGAAACATGTGGAAAGTCAAATGTGTGGCAATTGTTCTGAAAGTATGTGATTGGTCAACAGCTTAGAGATGTCCCGCCCCCTTGACATTTATTTTATATTTATATATTTTTTCATATTAAGGTATACCTTTTAGAAAAGATGTCGCCCCCTCATGTCGTTAAAAAGTCACAATAAAACATGAAAAATAGTTTGTTCTGAAATAATGGGGAAAAAAAAATAATGAATTCAAATCACATGTTATTCATGGGCGTTCTCTTTTAACCAATCACATTTCACCATCATCTCCAGCAGCCAATCATTGAGCTGCAGTCAAACTTTAAAATGCTCTTCATCACCTCCTCTTCATCCCATCTCTTCTCATGAAAATAGATTTTTATAACCCACAGAATTAAAATGGTAAAATCTCACTAATAAAAATAATGAAACAATAATTATGTTTTAATTTCTTTATTTCCCTTTTTCTTTAGTATGACATTTGACGTCCTAAACTTAATTCAAGTTAGGCGATAAAACAAATATAGAAATAGTGGTGAGGAATCGAGTGGGTAGGAAACAAGGGAGAGGTAAAAAAAAGATATCCTCACAACGAGATCAGAGTACAGTTTATAATAAAAACAATCAAAGCTATTTCAACAACGCGGTCTAAGTTATGTAAAGCTTATTCTAAAATGGCTTTTGTTTTATTGTGTATGTGTGAAGGTAGCATGATTACCTGAGGATTCTTTAGGGATAATTTGTGAGAAAAAGGCAGCGGACATCGCAAATAACAGAAATACCACCTGATAACTTCATTATAATTTGATTTGAAGCTTTTCTCATGTAACATAGGGACAGGTTCCACACAGCAACCAGCAGAAACACTAATACGGGTGCTTTTAGCAGACATAATGGGCCCAAAACGGTACAAATTATTTATTTGTTTACAATCATTTTACTGGATTTTGTTCCTCGAGGCCACAGTGAGATGGAAACATGGACATTGTTACATTTAAAGTCACATAATGTAGATATTTACTTAGTTTAACAGCTTTGCACACACTAACATTCACGTTTGCTTCCAGTTGTAAAGCCATGGATTAAGGTTACAGCAGCACTGAGGTCACATGGGTCCTTTGGGCTCTGCTGATTGGCTCCTGATGTTCAGGCGGTGGTGGTGGTCGCGCCGTCCTTCCTGCTGATCTGACAGTAGAGGACCATAGAGAACACCATGCCGAAAATCTGCAGAAAGAGCGGGAGAAACACGTTCAAATCAGCCATCATACGGGGGGGGGGGAATATTTTAAGACTTTTATCTACTTTAGAAGGTAAAAATGTAAAATCCCTAAGTTCCGGAACACAGTGACATCACTAAGGAACACTCGCGCTTCTATTGGCTAGCGCTCCAACACATTGTGCGTGATAGGCTAAGGGGCAGGACATCTCTAAGCTGTTGACCAATCACAACAGAGCCAGCCAGCTAACCAAGCAGAGCAGACTGGGCTCTGGTTTCAGACAGCAGGAGAGGACTCTTTAAAGTAGAGACACTACATACTGATATACACCTGAACATCAGCAGGAGAGGACTCTTTAAAGTAGAGACACTACATACTGATATACACCTGAACATCAGCAGGAGAGGACTCTTTAAAGTAGAGACTCTACATACTGATATACACCTGAACATCAGCAGGAGAGGACTCTTTAAAGTAGAGACACTACATACTGATATACACCTGAACATCAGCAGGAGAGGACTCTTTAAAGTAGAGACACTACATACTGATATACACCTGAACATCAGCAGGAGAGGACTCTTTAAAGTAGAGACACTACATACTGATATACACCTGAACATCAGCAGGAGAGGACTCTTTAAAGTAGAGACTCTACATACTGATATACACCTGAACATCAGCAGGAGAGGACTCTTTAAAGTAGAGACACTACATACTGATATACACCTGAACATCATCAGGAGAGGACTCTTTAAAGTAGAGACACTACATACTGATATACACCTGAACATCAGCAGGAGAGGACTCTTTAAAGTAGAGACTCACCAGCAGGATGGCGATAGCGAAGGCGATCCCCAGCACCACCTCCAAGTGTTGCTCCATCAGGTTGATGATTTTGTCCGAGCAGCTCTGCAGGGAGAGAGCAGGACGTCAATAAAACTGTACTTATATTTATATATTTATTTATTTTAACAGTACAGTATGGGATGTCTACCTCTTGGTAAATAGCGTTGGACTTGCAGTCTGTCTCGGTGGCGTTGCAGCGACACGATTCGGGAATTTTCGTCCAATCAGAGGGTCCGTTAACGAGCCCACAACACTTCAGCTGGAGGAAACACAACAGAACATTTGAGATTTAGCTGCTTATACAAAACACTCGCTGCTATATAATATATGTGTGTTGGGAAATACTGAATGTCCTCTTCCAATGTGAGAGTAACATGATAACAAAGGTATCCCAACTGTAGCTGTGAACATGACAGGATGTATGATTACCTAGAAGAGCATCAGGACTGTTTGAGGCATATGATAGCTATGTGATTAACATGATGATTCAGCCTCTATGGAGATAGACATATGACAAGCTTGCTCATTTCTGACGTGGAGCTAATCTGAAGTAAACATTGAATTTTGAGAAAAAAGTCTGAATTTTGAGATTTTTAGAAAAAAAGTCAGGATTTTGAGATTGAGAAAAAAAATCTGATTTGTTAGGAAAAAAAAGTCAGAATTTTGAGAACATTTTTTGAGAGTTTGAGAGAAAGTCATCATTTTGAGAAAAAAAAATCCCTGTTTCCTTAAAGTTTTCTTTTATTTCTTGTGGGTTTAATTATTCTAAGAAATTGTCATGTTTTTAAAATGTTATATGAAAATTGTCTTTAAAATCAATCACTAAAACTGCTCTGTATTGATTGTTTGGAGAATTTGTATTAAAGTCACTATGGAAATCAATAGTGAGTGAGTGAGTGAGTGAGTGAGTGAGTGAGTGAGTGAGTGAGTGAGTGAGTGAGTGAGTGAGTGAGTGAGTGAGTGAGTGAGTGAGTGTGTGTGTGTGTGTGTGTGTGTGTGAGTGAGTGTGTGTTACCTCTTTCTGCAGTTTCTCCAGGTCTTCAATCACATTGTCTGGTTGGGACGACAGTGGGATGAACGTCTTCAGACGGTCCTTCATCCAGATCTTCACCTGCACACACACACAAAATCATGAATAAATAAAGTGTTATCTCTGTAATTAAAATAGAAACACTATGATGTCACTTCCTGTTTACCTTCTTCTCCTCCACGGCTCCCAGGATGCCGGCAGCGAGCAGCAGGACGAAGATGACGAGGAGGCTGATGAAGAACTGAGGGGAGAAAGGAGGTTCATTTTCATCTCAGTGTGTTGCTGGTGTTTGTGTTTACTGAACTATGACTTTTTTTCATTTTTTCGACTTACAATATGACTTTTTTCAAATTTCTTACGACATACAGTATTATACTATGACTTAAAAAAAAAAAAATTTGACGTACTATACTATGACTTTTCCTCACCTTTTTCAACATACTATTCTATGACCGTATTTAACATATAAACAATTAGAAAAAAGTCATAGTAAGTTTATTTATTTACTTTCTAGAAATGAAAAAAGCTTTGAGTCTGATCTATAATATACGTAAGGGGTAATGTGCAGCGACGCGGTCATTATGGGGAAAAGAACACCCGACAGGCAGATCAGGAGCCTGACGCGAAGCGGAGGGATCTAGATCTGCATGAAGGGTGTTCTTTTCCCCGTAATGACCAAGTCGCTGCACATTATCCCGCTTATCACACGGCCACATTCTCAACAAAGTAACGACATGACTCCCAATATTAATTGAAATGCTTTTATAGATTTAGAAAATGTTTTTATTGATTTAAAAAAAATAGTACGCTATTATTTATTTAAAATGACATGCATCCGCTAAGAGAAATAGTCCGTTGTTACCGTTTGAACTAACGTAGCAACGGCAGGAAGTGCTTCGATAGCGTTTTTGAGGAGCTTTTTGATTACAGATTTGAAAACATCGCTGCTTGCTTTAAAAGTAGCACAACTCATTTTGTCAAACCTTGGGAAGTATCTAGATATCCCTGCCCTAATGCCAAAGGAACTGCACACTGAATATGTGTCGCCGTTTGATGTCTATGTCTGGACCGCTGCGTAAAAAGGAGGGTTTCTGCCCCGTTACTTCTGCGCTGTTTTCTTGTCCCTCGTCGGCCAAACTGTATTCAGTTAAATCGACCGGACTTGTTTGTGCAGATGTGAGCGTCCTTAACAACGGTCAATAAGTGCTTGACAGCGGTCTTTACTACTGGATTAACAACGTGTCACGTGTTCTGAATTGACCAATCAGAATCGAGTATTCAACTAAACCATGTAATAAATATATATAACGTTTTTTCATTTTTTATCGACCTATGACTATTTTCAAAAACATGTCGACATACTATCATTTTATTTCACTTTTTTTTTGGGGAAAAAAACCCCGCATTGGCACGCGGCACCGTAACCAGTGGCACACTAGGAATAAGTCAAATAAGTGTGCAAAATATTTAAATTGTATTTTCGGATCCTGAACGAGACCGCCGCCAGAGCGCGTCTCCCCGTTACCTGCAGAAGGAAGCCATGCACGCAGCGCAGCCCCGCTCTGTTTAACTCCAGGTGACTTTCTGCCACTTTCCTCCGTGGTGCAGTGCTGATCGTTTCACCACGGAGGAAAGCACTTCACAAATTGCAGTACCCATAAGGAGCTGTACAAATGCCGCAGTTTTTGCGTGGCTGTGCCTTTAGTTGAAAGCCCAGTGGCGATCTGCTCATCTCTCATTGAAATAATATGCTACAAAGGGGCGGACTGGCCATCTGTGTGTTGAACTTTCCTTTTCAAGCTTCAGGTTCAATAACCCACTTTAGCTTAAATGACTGGAGAGAGGCGAGCTCTTCTTGGGAGGCCGTTGCATTTATTTAGCTGTTCTTCTGTTTCACAAAATACATCACAGAGCTCTGTTTTTCTGCTGCCTCGTTTCACTTCCAGAAACATACAGCCGCTCGCTCACTCTCGCTCTACCATCCACACACACACACACACACACACACACACACACACACACACACACACACACACACACACACACACACACACACACACACACACACACACACACACACACACACACACACACACACACACACACACACACACACACACACACACACACACACACACACACACACACACACACACACACACACACACACACACACACACACACACACACACACACACACACACACACACACACACACACACACACACACACACACACACACACACACACACACACACACACACACACACACACACACACACACACACACACACACACACACACACACACACACACACACACACACCTCTCTCTCTTAAAGAGCACAGCGACCCTAATATCATAACATGTGTGTTCTGGAGAATCACAGAACGGACGATCGTCATTATTATGCCGTTTAAACCAATTATTTAAATGTGTTTGTTAAATTCGGTATCATGTAAGTTGCGCTGACAGGTCCACACACTGCTTCCTCGCAGCGAGGCCCCCCCGCCCTCCTGTTGATAGTTCATGAGCGTCAAGCTCCTCAAGCTCCTCAAACCCCCCCCCCCCCCCCAGTTGATAATTCTCGATCGTTATCGTGATAAAACATTTTTTTTTTTTTTTTTTTTTTTTTTTTTTTTAAAATGGCACTTCATATCAAAAAGGTTGCCGACCCCTGGTATAGCATGTCGAAAAAAATCATATTCATTTTCTTTCTATGAAACAGAAAACCTTTGCGTCTGATCTATAATAATCTCATGTAATCCTCACCAGCAGCAGCAAGCAGCGGTTCTCTCTGATCGCTCCCCAGCATCCCAGGAAGCCCAGCACCAGGATGATCACTCCGATCGCGATCATCAGGTCGATCCCCGGGAGAGACTCGTTGGTGATCTGAGGGGAGAGAAGAATATCACTCAGAGGAGAACAGTTAACATCTGAGGGAGAGAACATTCAATAATATCACTCAGTAACAGCAGAGGAGAACATTTCAATATTTACATCGGTCACTGGTGATCTGTGGAGAACATCCAATAATCCAACTTTATTTATATTGCACATTTAAAAACAATTATTTTATATTTGATGATGAATGGTTACCCCGTTGTACCTTGTTTGCATTATCTGTTTGTGTAACATACCAATGAATGGAGGCAGTGCAAAATCTGAGATGTTTTTTTCATCTTTTCTTTGCATACAGTATGACAATAAGAAGGAAATCAAATGATGAATCTGCATGGTGTGATTCTCACCACGTTTCCATCCTTGGAGACCTTCAGGTAGATGGAGACGCCGAGGATGATGCAACCACTAATCTGTAATCAAAAGAAAACAAAGGAGAAAAAAGATTTAGTTTAAATACAGAAAAATGTAACCGGTGTTTATTTGGTGAGACTGTGGCGCCCTCTAGTGGAGAGAACCTGCAGCGACTTGAAAACAGCTGGTGATTGAAATAATAGTGGATTCATTGTTGCAGACAATTAAAAAGTAGCATTTTGTGTCACAAATTCAACAATATATGTATATATTTGTTGCCCTATGGTCAACCAGATTAGCTTTTATTTTAATTTGTAGGGTAGAGACACGAATGAACCTTTTATATATCCAAATTAAACTTTTTTTGTAGTTTGATTTCAAGGTGTTAGGCTAGTAAAATGTATTATTTATTCAATACAACTTTGTGAGGACTGTTGGAGGCATTTTATCACTGGATTAAACCTTTATTTATTTTATTTCTATCCCAATAGTCCAGCTGTTGTTGGGCTGCGTTCAGGACCGATGACTGACATGTATTATTCACACACACAACACACACAACAAATCTGCCATCAATAGTTCATCATGAGAGCGGAAACAGAAACCAGACACACAGCGTCACCATGGAGACAAACACAGGTCACACACACATTAAAGATGATTAAATAAAAACACAGACTCTGCTCCGACCTGCCTTCAAAATAAAAGCACACTGTTGTTATCATATGTTGAAACAATACATTTAGTTTAGTTTTTTTTAAGTAAAGTGTCGTTGGGATTTGTAAAATGCACTTTAATTATAATGATACAAAAAATATATATACTTTTTTGTTTAATGTTACAGTCTACACTCCTTGACTTTTTTTATTTAAATGTATTAATTGACCGATGATTCAATATATTGAAATCATAATTGCCTTGCTATTTAATTTAATATTTATACAGTTTTTACACGTTGGACTTTAATACAAACGTACATATTAAAGTTAATTTAGAGCTGCAATAATACATGAATTAATAGACTAAGTATTTTAATATTTATTTAAGTATTATAAAGATTTAAAGGTAGGTTAGGTAAGAATGTAGAAAGCAGCTTGAGTGCGCTAGAATCTGCCCCTTCCTTACAGAGCCCCTCCTCCAACACACATGACCAATGAGGGCACGAGATAAGTTTGTGCACAGATGGAAGGCTGACAGGCAGGTAGGCCATCCAGTTATTTTAGCCGGGCCGGCTCAGATGATTGGTCGTGCTTTTTACAGTACTACAGCTTCCACAGATGACATTTTTCATGTATTTATTGTCAAAGCATTTAATGTATTCGTTTCGGTAAAAATGGTTCATATCGTCAGTTAGCTTAGTTTCTTCCCGTTAAGTGAGTATGACACATTCATAGTTTATTACATTTTAAGAAGCCCTGAGACACAGTTTCGTGAAAAAAGCCCGTTAAGAGCATTCCATGGAATTTAACAAAAAGTGTTTCTGAAGTGAATTACCTACCCACCGTTAAATCCTTCTTTTTGAGGAAGTAAAATATGTCACTTATTTTAATTTAAATGAACTTTATTTCACATGAAATGTCTATCATTTAGATTCAAAGTTCATTAAAGTCTTGAATGTAATTTATCCATTTTATTTGATTGAAACTAACACCCGTATTTTCTTTTACTTTGAAATGTTTATCCTGCTATTTCTGAATTATATCTTTTACAATATCAATAAACTCTAAAGGGTGAGGATGAAAAATGAATTAATCATTGTACTCTGAATTAACGGAAACAGACCACACACACACACACACACACACACACACACACACACACACACACACACACACACACACACACACACCACACACACACACACACACACACACACACACACACACACACACACACACACACACACACACACACACACACACACACACACACACACACACACACACACACACACACACACACACCACACACGCACACACACACACACACACACACACACACACACACACACACACACACACACACACACACACACACACACACACACACACACACACACACACACACACACACACACACACACACACACACACACACACACACCACACTCTGAACAAAGCATTCCCCTGATTTACAGGCTAAATAAATAACAGGATCTGCTGAGTCAAACCAGTAAAACCAGTACAACTGTCAGGTAGGAGAAGAAGAACTACTCTGTTACTTTGAATAAAGCGCTTTTATTTTGGGAAACAAAATGTCTGCCTTGTTTGAAGACAAACACAAAGCGTGCTGGTGGAAACAATCCTCTTTCAGTCACAGGGTTAGTTTGTTATTGAGACGTCGACCCGCATTATATGAAACCTAAGAAAACTAGAACAAAAAAATGCTGAATCATACTGGTTTAAAAAAGACCTCCTCTCCTGCTGATGTTCAGGTGTATGTCAGTATGTAGTGTCTCTACTTTAAAGAGTCCTCTCCTGCTGATGTTCAGGTGTATATCAGTATGTAGTGTCTCTATTTTAAAGAGTCCTCTCCTGCTGATGTTCAGGTGTATATCAGTATGTAGTGTCTCTACTTTAAAGAGTCCTCTCCTGCTGATGTTCAGGTGTATATCAGTATGTAGTGTCTCTACTTTAAAGAGTCCTCTCCTGCTGATGTTCAGGTGTATATCAGTATGTAGTGTCTCTACTTTAAAGAGTCCTCTCCTGCTGATGTTCAGGTGTATATCAGTATGTAGTGTCTCTACTTTAAAGAGTCCTCTCCTGCTGATGTTCAGGTGTATTTCAGTATGTAGTGTCTCTACTTTAAAGAGTCCTCTCCTGCTGATGTTCAGGTGTATATCAGTATGTAGTGTCTCTACTTTAAAGAGTCCTCTCCTGCTGATGTTCAGGTGTATATCAGTATGTAGTGTATCTACTTTAAAGAGTCCTCTCCTGCTGATGTTCAGGTGTATATCAGTATGTAGTGTCTCTACTTTAAAGAGTCCTCTCCTGCTGATGTTCAGGTGTATATCAGTATGTAGTGTATCTACTTTAAAGAGTCCTCTCCTGCTGATGTTCAGATGTATATCAGTATGTAGTGTCTCTACTTTAAAGAGTCCTCTCCTGCTGATGTTCAGGTGTATATCAGTATGTAGTGTATCTACTTTAAAGAGTCCTCTCCTGCTGATGTTCAGGTGTATATCAGTATGTAGTGTCTCTACTTTAAAGAGTCCTCTCCTGCTGATGTTCAGGTGTATATCAGTATGTAGTGTATCTACTTTAAAGAGTCCTCTCCTGCTGATGTTCAGGTGTATATCAGTATGTAGTGTCTCTACTTTAAAGAGTCCTCTCCTGCTGATGTTCAGGTGTATATCAGTATGTAGTGTCTCTACTTTAAAGAGTCCTCTCCTGCTGATCTTCAGGTGTATATCAGTATGTAGTGTCTCTACTTTAAAGAGTCCTCTCCTGCTGATGTTCAGGTGTATATCAGTATGTAGTGTCTCTACTTTAAAGAGTCCTCTCCTGCTGATGTTCAGGTGTATATCAGTATGTAGTGTCTCTACTTTAAAGAGTCCTCTCCTGCTGATGTTCAGGTGTATATCAGTATGTAGTGTCTCTACTTTAAAGAGTCCTCTCCTGCTGATGTTCAGGTGTATATCAGTATGTAGTGTCTCTACTTTAAAGAGTCCTCTCCTGCTGATGTTCAGGTGTATATCAGTATGTAGTGTCTCTACTTTAAAGAGTCCTCTCCTGCTGATGTTCAGGTGTATATCAGTATGTAGTGTCTCTACTTTAAAGAGTCCTCTCCTGCTGATGTTCAGGTGTATATCAGTATGTAGTGTCTCTACTTTAAAGAGTCCTCTCCTGCTGATGTGAACACACTACAAAAAAGATAATAATTGAGGAAACAGTTGCAGCTAAACTCAGTATTTTCTCTGTGTGGTATTACTATATTTACTTTGAATGACTGGAAATGAGCTAGTTCAGAGGAGGAGGGACTTCCTGATTTATCACTGGAAAAAGAAACAGCCTCACAAAGCCAGTGTTTACATTAAAGGTGGGAGTCAATGGTAACCAAAAAAACACACAAAGATTCAATGAAAAGCCTCTATAGAAGTTGTTATCTCTTGCAAATCTGATTCAAACACAATCTCCCACACACACACACAACCTGCAGAGCAACATAGCTCTGAAGGCTTCAGTTAAAAAACACACCCTCTGAGCACACAGTGGCACGTTTACTCCGAATTAAGATCTGAGGGACAGATTACAAACAATGACGTCACCACCGCTAAGCTAAAGGAGGCTAATGTTGGGCTATAAAGGAACTACAGCACGGTCACATGACTTCACGTCACCACCGCTAAGCTAAAGGTGGCTAATGTTGGGCTATACAGGAACTACAGCACGGTCACATGACTTCACGTCACCACCGCTAAGCTAAAGGAGGCTAATGTTGGGCTATACAGGAACTACAGCACGGTCACATGACTTCACATCACCACCGCTAAGCTAAAGGTGGCTAATGTTGGGCTATAAAGGAACTACAGCACGGTCACATGACTTCACGTCACCACCGCTAAGCTAAAGGTGGCTAATGTTGGGCTATACAGGAACTACAGCACGGTCACATGACTTCACGTCACCACCGCTAAGCTAAAGGAGGCTAATGTTGGGCTATACAGGAACTACAGCACGGTCACATGACTTCACATCACCACCGCTAAGCTAAAGGTGGCTAATGTTGGGCTATACAGGAACTACAGCACGGTCACATGACTTCACGTCACCACCGCTAAGCTAAAGGTGGCTAATGTTGGGCTATACAGGAACTACAGCACGGTCACATGACTTCACGTCACCACCGCTAAGCTAAAGGTGGCTAATGTTGGGCTATAAAGGAACTACAGCACGGTCACATGACTTCACGTCACCACCGCTAAGCTAAAGGTGGCTAATGTTGGGCTATAAGTTCCCTTAGGCTTTAAGAGTATTTCTCCATCTTGGGTATGTGTAAAAACATTGTGATATAAATAATAATTACAAGCTGCTCATTGTGTCTCCTGCTAACCAGAGAG